CCTGACCCCTGGTCCTGACACAAACTAGGCTTAGCGTATTATTATTAGTAGTAGTATAGTATTTCGGGGATGCGCTAAATCTATAAGGATCATCCTTCTATCAACAGCCTTTTATCAGCATCAAAGCCCCTTTCCTGCAAGTACTGTAATCATGTCAAGCCTAGTCAAACCAGACAGGATCAAGTCAAACTAGACAGGATCAAGTCAAACCAGACAGGATCAAGTCAAACCAGACAGGGTCAGGTCAAAGCAGACAGGGGTCAGGTCAAAGCAGGCAGGGGTCAGGTCAAACCAGACAGGTCAGGTCAGAGCAGGTAGGGTCAGGTCAAACCAGACAGGGTCTATCTGGAAGGTATTCCGGGGATCAACGCTCCCGAGGCCCGGTCCACGACCAGGCCTCCCGGTGGATCAGGGCCTGATCAACCAGGCTGTTACTGCTGGCCGCACGTAGTCCAACGTACGAACCACAGCCCGGCTGATCCGGCACCAACTTTAAGTATCTGTCCAGCTCCCTCTTGAAGGTAGCCACGGGTCTATTGGTAATTCCCATTATGCTTGGTGGGAGGCTGTTGAACAGTCTTGGGCCCCGAACATTTATGGTGTTTTTCTTAGTGCACCAATGGCGCCCCTACTTTTCACTGGGAGTATTTTGCACCGCCTGCCCAGTCTCTTACTTTCGTAGGGAGTGATTTTCTGTACAGATTCGGGACCATTCCTTCTAGGGTCAGGTCAAACAAGACAGGGTCATTATAAAATGATCTTCAACCTAGTACACTGTAGCTGAAAACTAAAAAAAATTATAAAAATTTACTGAAAAGATACGAAGTTCCCCTCCTGCCTTGTGCTTCGTGTAAATTTCCATAATTAAGTCATAAAAAAGTCGAGAAAATGTTACTATTAAGACTCACTTTACGCGTTAGCAAGACGTAAAATTTTGTGGGGGCGATGTGAGTTTTAAGGGACCATCCATAATGAGCATCACCAGGCTTGGTGAACTATTAATACTTCAATAATAATAATAATAATAATAATAATAATAATAATAATAATAATAATAAATAATAATAATTCACTGTGTTAAATTATTTAGGTTAGGTAAGTTCGTCAAGAAACAGGACAAGTGTTTCCTGACGTGGGTCTTAGTTGTATGATGACCCGCAGCTGGAGCTTTTGGTCATCTGACCGAGGCCTTCCGCTAGCTTACCGGTCCACACCTTTAAAAATTAGTTATACTGTAGTTCCACTGTGTATATTCTTTATTAGGTAAAAGGACACAAGTGCAACTAATATGACATTTTATTGTGGGAACGTTTCTCTCTGCGGGAGCGAGCACCACAGGGACACACAGAGGTATATATGGGTACAGAGTGAGGTGCAAAGCATAATACAGTCGTGGTAGGTAGCAGTAGTACTTGTGGTAGTAGTAGTGCTTTTGGTAATAGTAGTAGTAGTAGCATATTTCTCTTGATGTGCATGCACTGAGAGCAACAGTACATAAGTTCAAATTCTCTGTGTACCGGATACTTATCCATGAATTGAGAGAAACCCACATGTAGACAGAAACACAATGTTAGAAAGAGATTAGATTTCAAACTCTGGGATCCTCGGCAACGCAGGAAAGTTAAAAAAAAATAGTGTTGGTTTATATAGTGAGCAAATTCCTCCACTGTACACATGTATATTGATGGGGGAAAAGGCTGGAAACCTGCACTTTAGCTCCTCCTCCTAAATATGCTGAGCTGGACACCACGTATAGTAGCTTGCATACACTTCAGGTTGTGCCAGATGTAATTACGAGCCGGTAGTGACCGGTGGGTGGTCAAGTCATGGGAATCGTAAATCTGGGACAGAAATGTATCTCTTCGTGGCTAATTTTGAGATAACATCAGGAATCCGTTTCCTTCTCGAGGTGTCTATATTGTTTCGTTTAGGTCAGCTCAGTTGTTTCTTGTGAATCTCTTCAGTTTTCTGTAATGTTCTGACTTTGTCCCAATTTATCCTATTTTTAAAGTGCTGGAACAAAACAGAACTTTCCAGGCGGTATTTCACATTACTAATTGAAGACTGACGCTCTGAAGAACAAGAAGGCACAATGCCGTGACTGGAACAATATACAAATAACCTGCACATAGGAGAGAGAAGCTTACGACGATATTTCGGTCCGACTTGGACTTTGTAAATGGTTCAAGTCGGATAAATTGATCCTGGCCTCCCCTACCTTGGATCGAACTTGATTGCCACGCATTTCTTATGGTGTTATACAGTTCCCACTCCCTTCCCGTGAATGTGAGCCGGTTGCAAAGTCGAGGCCCACGGACACTGACAGGATATAAACATGTAAATAGTTCATTACCGCTGTAACTTGTCCAACTGTCAAAACTTTGCGCCGCAGTCCCTTAACCCCAGGGGTCGAGACATAGCTCCTGGCCCCGCCTCGTCACTGATCGCTACTAGGTCCTCTCTCTCCTTTCTCCATGAACTTTATCATACCTCATCTTAAAACTATGTATGGTTCCTGCCTCCACTACATCGCTTGCCAGGCTATCGCACTTCCTGACAACTCTATGACTGAAGAAATACTTCCTAACATCTCTTTGACTCATCTGAGTCTTCAACTTCCAACTGTAGCCCCTTATTTCTGTATCCCATCTCTGGAACAACCTGTCTTTGTCCACCTTGTCAATGTGTGTGTGTAATGTGTTTGTGACCTAATTAATGTTTTCATGAATAACTCATTACGATTGTTACCAGATATAAATAGTTCATTACTTTTGTAACTCGTTCAGCTATCCAAACTTTGCAGTCCAGGCCCTGGACCCATTATGTGTGTCTGTAATCCTTTAACTACCGCCCACAGGATGGGTTTGGGGTGACTACCGCCCACAGGATGGGTGTGGGGTGACTACCGCCCACGGGATGGGTATATGGGTGCATAATAAAGATGTTAAACTAACGAACGCTGGCACAGTTCTCTACACAAATAACCCGCACATAGAAGAATGAAACTTGTGCCGATGTTTCGGTCCGACTTGGAGCTTGAACTATTCACGTTCCAAGTCGGGCCGAAACGTCGTAAGTTTCATTCTCCCATGTGCGGGTTATTTTTGTATTGTGCTAGTCAAGGTATTGTGCTGTGGCTACCCTCCGCTCTTCACCGATAAAGGAAACCGTGATGGGATGGTGGTAAAACATAAATCACACTGGAAACTTAATATGCAAGTGTTTTAAAGAACGGGGAAGCAATGGAAGGTTTTCCTAGTTGGTGAAGGGATTACAAAAATAAGTTATACGAGGAAGGATGAAGGAATCTTGAAGGTCTAAATCAGGGAGATACATGGCTTGCTTATTTATCTGGAGGCTCGGTTACATTAGTTTTATGAAGTTGAGGGACGGAGGGGATAATTGTGTATTTTTTTCAACGAACCGGCAGTATCCCACCGAGGCAGAGTGACCTAAAAAAACGGAAGTTTTTCTTTTAAATTTGATAATTTATACAGGAGAAGGAGTTACTATCCCCTTGCTCCCGGCATTTTAGTCGCCTCTTACGACACGCATGGCTTACGGTGGAAGAATTCTTTTCCGCTTCCCTACGTGGAGACCTGGAGTTTACCTGGAGAGAGTTCCGGGGGTCAACGCCCCCGCGGCCCAGTCTGTGACCAGGCCTCATGGTGGATCAGAGCCTGATCAACCAGGCTGTTACTGCTGGCTGCACGCAATCTAACGTACAAACCACAGCCCGGCTGGTCAGGTACCGACTTTAGGTGCTTGTCCGGTCCCTACAGAGTATGTTTGCATATACATTAGAATAATAATGATAATAATAATAATAATTAATTTCTACAAGTACATGTACAATGTATATACAGTCCTAGCTGACATCAATGACATACTACTATTTAGAATGCCCCTTGCCATGCAGAACATTTCGGGTAAATTAGGATGCGACCCACACCAGTCGACTAACACCCAGGTACCTGTTTTACTGCTAGGTGAATAGGGACAGCAGGTGTCTCAAAGAAACACGTCTTAATGAAAGGTGGCCTCGTGGCTAAAGCTCCCGCTTCACACACGGAGGGCCCGGGTTCGATTCCCGGCGGGTGGAAACATTTCGACACGTTTCCTTACACCTGTTGTCCTGTTCACCTAGCAGCAAATAGGTACCTGGGTGTTAGTCGACTGGTGTAGGTCGCATCCTGGGGGACAAGATTAAGGACCCCAATGGAAATAAGTTAGACAGTCCTCGATGACGCACTGACTTTCTTGGGTTATCCTGGGTGGCTAACCCTCCGGGGTTAAAAATCCGAACGAAATCTTAACTTATCTTAATGCGGGAGTATCTGAGGGTGTGTACTGGTGTATGTCGGGTGTAGCATGTGTGTTCCTGATGTATGTCAGATGTTATATGTGTGTCCCTGGTGTATGTCGGGTGTAGTATATGTGTTCCTGGATTATGTCGGGTGTGCTATGTGTATATCAGGTGTGGTATGTGTACTGATGTATGTCAGGTGTGGTATGTGTGGAGGTACCCCAGAGGAAATAAATCACTCTGACTTTTTAGGGTTATCCTTTGTAACTTATACTATGTATAATAATTGTTCTCATGTGTACCTGTGCCTAAATAAACTTACTTGCTAACATTTATTATTTGTCTTGTTAATTATTCGAATTTGTTCCATTCAGTAACAGGTAAAGTGAGATGTTGAAACACGATTTACGTAATTATTTCTCAATGATTTAGGACAAACTTTAATGTGATTTTCTCAATAAAAACACCAAAAAAGGTATACATGATATATAATTTGTCTATATAATAAAGTAAAAGCGGGTTATTTAGGTAAATAAGGTGTGTTGCACACCTTACTGCGCAGTACATCACAACGTGAAATGGAGGAAAACTGACGCCCTAAAATTCTTTCTCTTTCATAATGCTACTTTATAAAAAGAAGTTGATTTATATATGGTGTACTTGTTAAACTGAATACATTCCAGTTGAAAATGTGGAGCTATGATGGCACGTATTGATCCACAAATTGATTTTCTCCACTTGTTGTGCACTGCGCATGACTGGTGATGTCATCACAAGAAAAATTCACAGGAGGGGAGAGCTTGAGCGGCGGCTCTACTGTTTTCTTGCTAAAGTCGTGTTCTGGTGAGTCTGTTATCAATCTTTACCAATCGTATTTGTCTGTGGTGTACGGAACAAGGTGACGTGTGTCGTATTTGACAAGTGAGTGAGTGAGAGGGAAGTAAATTTCAAGAAGTGAAGGGGTTGGGCTAGGCAGGTTGGATCATCATGGCGGAAGCGACATTACGCCAAGCGACCTCATTATTACTTCTCTCATAACGTTCTTGCCTCTTCCTGTTGTTTTTCTGTGAGTTTGTATATTGGTAAATAAATCCGTTAGAGTGGGCTGTTATGTTGCCAGGTGGTGGTAATGTTGGGCTGCAGCTCTTCAAGGTGGGTTCCACCAGGCTGGTACAGGGCTCTTAATAAGTTTATTCAGGTATACACAAATACACTTACATATATTATCATACATAGCAGAGAACCTAGGATAACTCAGAAAAGCCAGAGTGACTTATTTCCATTGGGGTCCTTGAAATTTGTATTGATCCTTGCAGTGAGCTGACCTTAACTTTCACGGATCACATTTCATTATTACCCATTCCACAGGCGCTGTATGGCCCTTACGTGTTTGGCGTTTCTACATGGATATAGCATAACCTGTTGTGAGTGGGCCCCCCCATGGGTGTCTTGGAGGAGGTGAAGGGCTCTTGAAGGAATTGGAGCTTTTTTCCTAAGCCTTGAATCAAGTTAGATTGCATCTCATTAATTAAGGTCTCTAAGACCCCCTATAGTTTTAGTGTTTCCCAGTGATTGTAAATAAGACACGTAAGTTCATTTACGTACAAGTAAACATAAGTACAGTTATAGTGTATAATGTAAATTACCTTGGATAACCCCCCCCCCCCCCAAAAAAAAAAAGTAAAGTCTATTTCCATTGGGGTCTTTGTAATAACATTTTATTTGTGGTTTCTTCCAGAAGGGACATCATTTTATGAATTGATATTTGGGTAAGGTATGGTATTTTATAACTAAAATGCCATAATTCTCATCATATTGGTTAATGTACTGTTGGTATGTTGTACCATTTTGAGGTCTGGTCTGGTACTGAGCTGTAGGGGGCAGTGACCCCCTGGAAGCAACTATAGGTAAACTACACAACCAGGTTATATTCCACTTCCCCTTGAATATATAATAATAAATATAACCTTATGGATGTAGCACTTTCCCATAAGTGTTATAATAATGTATTATATAAGGTGTTATGAGTGTGCCCTCAAAACCATTGTATGAATTTTAATTTTTTCATGAAACTTAAATAAAATGACATTAACCAATGCCTTGTATCCCCTCTTTTTCAAAGGTGGCAACAAAAATGGGCCCTCATAAAAATAAGAGGTTCTATTTGGCTTTGCAGAGCATAAATGTAGTATTTATATATGGGTCCTTATCAGGACAAATCATATAAATGACAATATCGAGGCCTGGTCACAGACCGGGCTGTGGGGAGCGTTGACCCCCGGAACCCTCTCCAGGTATTACTGTTTATCATGGTACTCTGTCCTAACAAAAATATTTCACAGATTAGAAAGTGCTCAAAACATGGTAGTAACATGCATCTTGGACCAGGGTGCAAGAACACATGTTAGCCAGGATAAACTATAAAAATTTGGAATGCTAGAAGTAGCAGAAAAGTAACACAGCTGAAATAAAACCATTACAAAATTGCAAATAATTAATGTATAAAATATTTTGCCTTTTAACCCTTAAACTGTCCAAACAGATAGATGTTCAAATCCATAGTGCTCCAAAAGATCTACGTTTTTTACATATTTTCAAATATAACAAAAAAAAAAGTAGATAAAAGTTACACGTTTTCAAATGTAAAAAAAAAAATTACTTTTTTTTTTACATTCAAATGTTGAAAAAAACGTAGATTTACGTTTGGACAGTTTAAGGGTTAATTCTTAATTTAGGAACGAAAATATTAAGTACATGTACACAGTTTTGTAGTATATATGCTATAGGTGACAGGCTAAAAATAATTTTAATGATAAATACAGTACTATATGAAATACGTTACCTAATCAAGTCAAACCCATTGATAATATAAATAGTTTTAACCCTTTCAGGGTCTGTGCTTTACGTTCAGGATCCAAACCGTAGATCTACGCCATGAGTTCAGCTCACCCTGATAAGCTGTGAGCAGTAAATTTGGGCCTAGATATGAGAGAATACATCTATGTGGTATGTGTGCACCACATAAAACAAATCCTGCAACACACAGTGCATAATGAGAAAAAAAATTGACAGTAATTTTCGATTAAAACGGCGACTTTGCAGTGTTTTTTTGTATTTTTTTTATTGTTGTATTTGCAGTTTCTTGGTCTCATTTGATAGAATGGAAGATATACTACAGAAATGGAGATGATTTTGATTGGTTTTAGTACTGGAAATGGCTTGAAACTGAGCTCAAAGTAGCAGAAATGTTAAATTTTTGCCGATGTTCAAGAGTAAACAAATGACCTCACAAGTCTAATACATGACAACTGGTGGGTCTAATATACATTCACAAATGTGGTGATATTATTTATACAATTATTACAGTATTGCATAACAGTAAATCTTCTATTTTTTTGGTTTGAATAAAAATTCATTATGTGAATAAAAAATCAAAATGCACTAAGTCAGTGTAGTAGTAGATACATCTTACATATGGTATATTATTGCTTGGTTAGTGCTTCCTGGTAGTTTCACAGTATTTTTATGTGGGAGAACTCTGCCAGTCGGAAAATACCAAACTTAGAAGAGCACTCGACAACTGTGTATGCCACTACAATTCTTAAATCTCTCAAACCAACCTTTACTGGCCTTAAATTCACCAATATGAGCACTAGTTCCAGGCATTTTTTCCTGTTCAACTGGGTGTTAGTTGACTGGTGTGGGTTGCATCCTGGGAGACGAGATTAAGGACCCCAATGGAAATAAGTTACAGTCCTCGATGACACACTGACTTTCTTGGGTTATCCTGGGTGGCAAACCCTCTGGGGTTAATTGTTTCTCGGTATTCTCGATAAGCCATACCAACAAGTCTCTCCACATCTTCAAGTAGTGCAGCTGACTGTAGTACAGCAGCAGCAGCAGCTGACCATGGTACAGCAGCAGCAGCTGACTCTGGTGCAGTAGCAGCAGCAGCAGCAGCTGACCCTGGTGCAGCGGCAGCTGACCATGGTACAGCAGCAGCAGCAGCAGCTGACCATGGTACAGCAGCAGCAGCTGACCATGGTACAGCAGCAGCGGCTGACCATGGTACAGCAGCAGCAGCAGCAGCAGCAGCAGCTCACCATGGTACAGCAGCAGCAGGTGACCATGGTACTATAGTATTTGGATAGTACTTCTCACCCTTTTTACCACAGGGTTGGTACTAGAAGCTTTCTTTGGGCCCATTATGGCTTGTTTAGTAGTTACAAGCACTAAAAACACTGGAATAATACAAAATTTATTGAATGTAAGCATGAAACAGTCCGCCCTGGCTTGTAAACAGTGTCACACTAGCTCAGATGAGGCGCTCTGGCCAGATGGACCAGATGGACAGGTTCGGGATGAATGCTGTAAGTAGAGTTTTTCAACGTATGTCGAGGTCAAATTTTTACGCTGAAAAGCATTGCATGTTGGTTTTAACGTAGGTTGGGGACATCGTAGGTCGGGGGTCCACTGTAATATTTATTTCTACAAGTACATGTACAAGGTATGCAGGCCTAGCTGACATCAGTGATATACTACTGTATAGAAAGCCCCTTGTTATGCAGAGCATTTCGGGCATATTGGATCAGTTTTGTCCCAGGATGTGACCCACACCAGTCGACCAACACCCAGGTACCTATTTTAACAATAGGTGAACAGGGTCATGTCCTAATGTTTCCGTCCGTACCGGGAATAGACCCCCAGACCTCAGTGTGTGAACTGAGTGCGCTAACAATTGAGCTACGGGACACCTAATATGATATTCAATTCTCCTTTAATCTTTGTAACTCCTAATTTTATTTTTTACAACCACTTAAGAGAGTACAGTGGACCCCCGACATTCAATATTAATTCTGTTCCTGAGAGCTCATCAAATGTTGAAAATTTCGAAAGTCGAATTAATTTTCCCCATAAGAAATAATGGAAATCAAATTAATCCGTGCAAGACACCCAAAAGTATGAAAAAAAAAAATTACACATGAAATATTAAGTTTAATGCAATAGAATAATTACAATAACAACAATAACAATAGATTAATAACAATAGAATAATTGACACTTACCTTTAATGAAGATCTGGTGATGATTGATGGGATGGGAGGAGGGGAGAGTGTGGATGGTGTTAGTGTTTAGAAGGGGAATCCCCTTCCATTAGGACTTGAACTGGCAGCCTCACCATGCCTTACCACACTGTGTATGCCACTACGATTCTTAAATCTTTCAAACCAACCTTTGCTGGCCTTAAATTCACCATTCGCATCACCACTAGTTGCAGGCAATTTCTTTACCAAATCATCATGCACTCTGACACACGCACTCCACTTTCGTACTTTGCAATTAGTATCTCTTTCTTCATTTCAATAGTCATTAGGGTTGGCACTAAAAGCTTCCTTGGGGCCCATGGTTACTTATTTTGCAGAAACAAGCACCAAAAACAGTGATAATATGGATAATATGGAATGTACTGAATGTATCCTTAGATGTGCGCACACTGGCTGGCTTGTAAACACTGGCACGCAGGGGGCAGTTCAGGCCACACGTGGACAAGTCTCGTATGAATCGTATCGAATGTCGAGGCGAAATTTTTGCGTTAAAATGCATCGAATGTCGGATTTATCGAATGTTGATGCCATCGAATGTCGGGGGTCCACTGTATATATTAGTAGTCAATTAGTTAATGCCTTGTTAATCTTAAGATAGGCTTAAGTTTGCTTAAGTTTGGCCAAAATGCTCTTCATACTAGAGACTTCTGCATGCACACTTATATCATTCACCTCTGTACAAACATTGTATAATGCTGAAATTAAGAATCTTTAATCTTTGACTATAAAATAGCTTTC